ATTTAATCCACTTTCGCTTCGATAAGTTACTATGTCACATATGAAATAGGTTCAGTTATTAGGGTTTCACTTTCGCTAATAACCTAATTAACTACAAATCATTGTATTGGTGGCCAGCCAACACAAAGTATTAAGCAATTCCATGCAATAGAGATTTGAAGAAAAGAAATATGAATCAATCCATCAAATTCAGAAATAGCTACATCCTATGGCATTTCCCTCACAAATTGGGGCTTAGTTCATAACGACAAAATAATACGCAATTATATTCTGAATCATCATGAAACTAACAAGGAGAGAAAATAATGATATGATAGGAGCACAATTCTGATTTTCTCTCCCAATCGACACCAGTGGCGGATCTAGGGGTGGCCACACCGGGCGACGACCCAGCCCTCCTTTGGATCTAGAGCTTGTATAGCCTTTATGAATTTTTCGATTTAGGTATTTGGCCCAATGTTATTTTATAATAAGATTGTGTGTAATTAGAAAAATGGTTGAGATGAACACATTCAAATCATTACTCTAAATTTAGCCTAGAAATTCTAGCCCCAAAGACTTTGTCTAAAAAAACAATGAAAACTAAAATTCTAAAAATCTAAAGCGTAAAGACTAAAAGAAATATAAGGTTTGTTCCATTGGAAAAATTACTAGAGCAGTTGGTGGATATAGAGATGGACACACAATGCAAATCGATTAGTTGATTGATTTGTCTAGTATTGACGCTGCCTGTTTCAACGACTACTACAGAGAGAACTTTTCAACAATGAAACATGTGAAAACTGATTTGCGCAACAAATGAGCGATGAATTTCTTGCCGATTGTTTAACTATTTTAATTGAAACAGAGTATGTTATTGGTATGAATGTAGACTCCATTATTGATGTATTCGCTAAATTAAAAGACCATCGTGTACAATTGACATTGTAAAAAAAAACTATGATCATTATTTTTAATGAAATGCGGCCCAGCGCTCTATTTTGTTCTGAATTCGCCGCTGATCGGCACTATCCGCTCCCCTAGCTGCTCGTTTGCTCTCCAGTCACTCGCAAACTGCTCTTCTCCCCAAGTAATCTCGTCCAAGTCCAACTTCTTCCAAGAAATCCCCCCAGTCCACTTAATTCCGGTCCCCCTCTAATTCAACAAAGCTTCCCTGATCCAAATCTCCAATTATTGGTACAATTATTTCATCACTAACTGATTGTCCACGAAAAGGGCTGCCCTTCCTCATGGCCGGTCCACTTAATTGAAAGAAAAAAAAATCCAATCCGATCACCTTGAATTATTCCATCTAAAAATGCAAATTTCTCATTTGTCTCAAACATATTATTCAACGATCACATTAAGCACACATAATCAATATGTTTTCGACAATCACCCTCCAACAACTGGCACTAGTGACAGAGCCAAGAATCTTAATGAGGGGGCTGATTTGAACCGTGATCTTTGGAAGAGGGGGCTACGGCCTTATCGATTACTCTAGTTCCTAAATTTGTTACGAATTTTACAAGTAATCTTATCTATATTTCAATTCCGAGGGGTTCTAGAGCCTATAATGGCTTCAACCTAGGGCTGTCAGTTCGATTTCGGATTTTTGGGTTAACCCAAACCGATAAATACTTTTTCGGGTTTCGTTTTCTCCATTCCAACCCGTGTATACTGTTAGCGATTTCGGTTTCATAGAAACCCGTAAAACCGACAAACCCTGAAAAACCCGTAGTCCAGACTGTGTCGATTTGGGAAGAGCTTAGCAAAACCCTAGCTTTTCGGTGCCCAAACCCTTCGACCTTCGTCATTCCCTTCTCCAAACACCCGAGTGCATAGTTCAACATAGCTTTTCGACGGCGTGACCCGCGACTTCGCCATTTCCTTTGCCAAACACCAAAACCTAGTGACACATAGCCGTCATCGTCCTCGCCGCCATAAACTCCTTTCCCTCCCCTTCCTTCGCGGCTCCAACCCTACTTCCGATCAACCCAGTGTTCCCCTGAGTCCGACCAGTCGATGCCTCTGCCGCTAGACGAGACAAGGAAGATTGACGACCCAACGGCCAACTCCCTCAGTCCGCCAGTCGCAAGCTCCCGACGCTGGACGAGGATGAGGAAAATTGAAGACTTAGCGGTGCCTTTGGCTCCCGAAAGTTGTTCTGCTCCATCCCTGCCTCGAATAAATCCGATCCATCTCCGTCTTCGCTCCCACCTCCCGCTGATCAACTAGTCCCCTTTCCGACCACAACGATGGCATCCCAGTATGGTCTTCTTCTTCCCCTGCTCCTTCCCTTTCCCAGTCTGTCTGTGCTGTCAATTGATGAATTTGGGTCGGTTTCGAATTGGGGAATCTGGATTTTTAATCTCATTTATGTTACACACCAAACACCAAAATTAAAAAATACATGGTAACTCTTATAGATTTAATCTGAATTTAAAAATCTTATAATTATTGTGATAATTGATATGCCGCCAATTTTTCAATTATAAATTAATATATAAATATTAGTTACGTTAAAAATTTAATTCATTAAATACGAATATTAAACGTATTATATGAATTTTTCTATACATACAATTCACCACCACGTTTAATTACATTCAATGGAATTGAAAAAGTTGAACCACACAGTCACACTACACTTTGAGGTAAGGAATAAAAAGCAGCACTTTAAAAAAAAAGGATGAATAGCTAAAGGGAAAATGAAATGGAATTATGAACTGCACAGATAAAGGGTGCATTTCGGGTTCTTTTACCCACCCGAATCCGATAAGGACATTTTCGAGTTTCGATTACCTGAAAACCGAACCGAACCGACAACCCTACTTCAATCTAGCTTCACTAGTTGACACCATGGAATCCATGCACGATTAAGAGTTCGACTTAGAATAGGGTCAGTAACCATTGGTTACTGACCTATGAGTAACTAAATCTAGACCTTTAAATCTAAGTGGATCTAGAAAATTCAGATATAAGGGTTGTCAATTAAATGCATTTTATTTTCCCTAGTTTTTTAATTGGCTCTTATCTTCTTCGTTCTAACTCGGATTTCAATTTTTTTGCACAGATGGAACGAGTTCATTGTGCTCTACAAAATGAGATCAATTTTCAATATATTTCGAGAAACTTTTTTTACCAACTAAAATACCATATGGTAACTTCTTCGTTTTTAAGTCATTTTTGAAAACGTTTGCTCAGAAGGAACGAGTTCATCATATCTATTAGATCTATAAATTTCTGGGTGAAAAAAAATATTGGACCAAAAATTACCATACTTTACCACTATGGTATGTGGGTGGTAACTTGTAGTAAACAATGATGAAAGTCGTAAATGACAGTTAGTATACTCCTACTATCATGTATTCAACATTCTTACCATATTGGTATGTTCATACCGTCATGGTACGCTTTCTTACCATATGGTATTAAATAGGAGCATACCATATGGTAAAGATTAGTAAAAAATTATTCAATTTTTGTTATACTAAAAATATATCAAAGTGGATATCATTTTAAAAAGCACATTTAATCTGATTTATTTGTGCAAAAAAAAATTAAATTTCGACTTAAAACGAGAGATAAATCGTCCGTTAAAGATTAAAGGGAAAAATATAAAAGACTTTACAAGAGAGAGTGATACTGATGTCATGCTGATGTGAACGAGTTACTCATAGTTACTGACCATAGGGTTACTGATCTGATATGTTCCCTAGGAGTTCCGACAAACTCATTCATATCATATCTATTTTTATTTTGCACAATAGTAATACTATAATAATTTTGAAACAAAGTGGCACATTTATAAAACGACAATTAAGCATTTGACAAAATAAAATTTAAATAAAATTAAAAGAAAAATAAAAGGGTACAATTAAGTAAGCTGATCCATGGTGATGATTCCTTATTAATGGTACACATCAATCAACCATCAAATGGTTGAGGGCAAATTCTATGGTGCCGTAACGGCACCGGTGCCGTCATAGTTTCTAACCGGTTTCAATAGTAGTTGTGGTTTGAAATGGTTGAAACAAGCTGGTTGGGTTATGATTTTTGGGTGACGGAGCCAATGCCAAGAGCCAGAAACTCCGATTAAATCCTGCACCCTCAATTCTCCAAAGTTTACAATTGGAATTTCGGCCGCTGCGCGATGAACGAAATCGATATCTTGCACCCTCATTGTGGGAATCGAAATCGAAGTTGGATCCGATGAAATCCTGCACCCTCATTGTGGGAATCGAAATCGAAGTTGGATGCATGAATTTTGGCGCCGCGCGATGAACAAAATATGTTTTCTGTTCATGTGTTCTTACCCGATCCTCCCATGGATTTCAGTAGTTTTTCCCTTAGTGATTCTGGTCGACGGCAGCGAGCGTGCTGCGGGAGAGGAACATGCAGAGGGTCTTGCGGCGGCGGAAGTGGATGACCGGACTGGTGTGGGGCTCTGCCTGCGTATTCCCTGTCGACTCTCCGCACTGCGAAGCAAAATGCTTAAATCTCCCAGGGTCTTGTTCGTATGAGATGAAAGGGGAAAGAAGAGAAGGGAGGGGATCAGGGGATTAAGCTTTTCACTTTTGGTTTCAGGGAAGAGAAATCTTATTGCCGAAGATTGATTGAATCAGTCACTTTGTGAAGGATTTCAATACAAAATAGGTTCAACCAAACATAGTAGGTTCAACCTGCTGTGGTTAAGTGGTGGTTAATAATCAATGGTGCTTATTAAAGACACTAAAATCCAACGGTTGAAAAGCAGGCGGCACTAGTGACGTGCCTGCGCCACAGAATTCGCCATGGTTGAGATTTCAACTAATTAAGATTTTCTTCAATTCAGCTTTATGGTGTGCGCGGGAGAGATAACGTACGCGGCATTCATGGCTATTACATATACCCGCTGCAGGGGCAGGGAGTGATCATAAAACTATATATATGCAGAATTAATTAATTAAGAGCAGGTATAGTTAATTTTATGGTTTATGTATGTATATCCACTGCGCGCTGTTTGAATAATGCATATATTAATTGGGTGGTTGGTCAGTAGTATTGTGGTGATTTGGGATGGGTACTCGAAGTCCACTGTAGACCATGGCCGCGAACAAAGCTCCAAGAAGAGGCGCCAAAATGTAGAGCCACAGATTTGTATACACTCCCGATGCCACCGCTGGGCCTATGCTTCGCGCCGGGTTCATCGACGCCCCAGTAATCGGCCTGCATATATGCACCAAATTAACCCAAAAAAACCTTAATTAATTGAGTTAAGCTAGCTAGCTGTAGATTATTAAACAAGACAAGACGACACGTACAGAAAGAGTCATGATGAATTAATCCAGAAGAATGCGTACGTACCCAGCAACCAGGACGTTGACTAGTAGTGTGGAGCCAATAGCGAAGCCGGCAAGACCTGGGCTCTGATATGATATATATTATTATTCATCACAACGTACAGCTTCTCCATCAGTATATTATATATATAGTTCATATCCACATATATATTTAATTAGTTGATATGAATCTTAACTTCAACTTACCACAACTCATCGAAAAATACACACGCATAGAAAAGTAGGCATATAATACATGTGAAATGCGTCCATTATTACCAAGTTGGTTGAGAAAAAAAGGGCAAGAAGATGAATAAATTAGTAAAAAAGTACCGCGCGGTGGTCGGTGGCATTGGCGCAAATGCTGAACATGAGGATGAAGGTGATGATGAACTCCCACAGGAAAGCTTCGAGATGAGAGGTGGTAACGGCGTACTGTGTGGCTATTGGGTCAATGTTGCCTTGTTTGTGGAACAACACTTTGAGGGTCAGGCTCCCAAGCGTTGCTCCCACTAGCTGAGCCACCACGTACATTGGCACCTGCACCAACAATTAATTAATTAATTAATTAATGATCCCATCCCAGGCTAGCTAGGGTTAATATATCATTGACACGGTTTAAAGATAACTAGATATGCCCGCTCGTTATTCTTCGCGTAAAGCGAGTAATGCGAAAGGTAACTAAATTGTAATTAATTACTTGTTTCCAGCGGGTGCGGCGGATGGCAGCCAGTGCGAGGGTGACGGCAGGGTTGAAATGGGCACCGGAGATATGGCCAACGGCATAAATCGCAGCCATGAGAACGAACCCCCACACCATCGCTATCCCAACAATCCCCACCTTCTCTACTCTGTCGGTAAGGGCAGAAGCGCATCCGATGAACACCAGTATATATGTCCCCACCACCTCTGCCAGAATCTGCATAATACCCTCTCCATTAGTTAACAAGATGATAATATATACTCTAGCTAGCATGAAATTCGAAAATTGGGCCGACCGACCGACGGACCTTCTGGAAATGAGTTGGAGAGTGATCGACGGGGACGAACCATCCCCGGGGGATGCTGGCTTTGGATTTGCTTTCCACGGCGGTGGAGGTTGGGAGTTGAGGATCGCCACGGTGGTGCCTCGGCGGAGTGGTCCTCATCTCATCGATAGAGATGCTCTCCTCGCCCACGGCAGCCATAGGATATGATATGATGATGGCAACAAAACAAGAAGCTAAGGCACGTAGCAGAGAGGAATGAACGTACGTAGTAACGTAGATGATGATTATGATGATGAATATGGCAGTAGTGTTAAACTAAGAGATAGGGTGGGTAGTTAAGTTTACTAACTACTTATAAGGGAGAATTACTCGTGAATGGGAATGGGATCGGACGGCCGTCCATGTACGTCACAACTAATACGACAGCTTATTTTATTTATTTATATTTTTGCTAGCCTCTGTATCCTATTCTGGCTGGAGAGGAGGATACGCCAGGAGTTGATTCCTTCCTTCCTTCCTTCCTTCCACCACCGTAGCCTCTGTTTAAGTTTTACTGCCGCCCGTCTGGCATTCCAAGGATGATGATTAGGTGATATCGACACACGACGGCAGATGAGTCCGAATAACTCATCAACTCTAAAGCTAGCTCGCTAGCTACATTCAGATTAACGATAATTTTTCTGGATGTACTATACATTTGACTCTATCTCTGTTCCCTTGAAATCTTCAAAATCAAATTTAATTTATTATTAACTACTCTCCGTCTTTCCGTGTTTTCCTTTCATCTATGATTTGTTCCTGAACCATCACTTCTTCTTAAAACATAGTTTACTTCCAAAACCTATCTACATTTTTATATATTTTTTCAAACTTTTTTTTTTATTGTTTCTCAATCATAAGCCTCGTTCCTACTGTATTCCAGGGAAACAGCATTTTGTTGTTTCCTTGTAGCTTCCCAATAGTTGCCGTATGGGTTTTTCAAATATAAGTGTAATGGCAATTAGTGAACACATTTTTTGTTTTTGGTTCCTTATTTATCTTTTGGCAATAAAAAACAAGAAACAAAATGACATGCGAACTGGCCATTAGAGAATGTTTCCAATCACTCGGCTAGCTGTGAAGATTTTAATCCAGTGAAGGAAGAGAGTTAGGCAGAGGCAACCAACATTAATTAGATGGTTAATTTTGCTCCAACCAAAATATAAAGGTTCAGGGATGGGAGTTTGGGTTTGGAGGGTGAAAAATTGGAGGACACAATTATAGGAGATTGTAAGTGCAAATTTTCACCTAAAACACACAAAATTGACGATGGAGTAAATTCAGAGTGAAAAATATCTCAATAATACTAGTTTTTTACCCGCCCGTTGGGCGGTCGAAATTGATTTATTTTTCATTGTATCATTTTATTTTTTTTTATAATTCATGTATGTTACATAATTATACATGAAAATTTCAATCTCCTTTACCTTATGAAATAAGAAGATATTCTTTGACCCTTTGTATCTTCCATTTATTAATGAAACACTAATTTTATTAAATTATTTTATGTCAACTATTTTGTGTCTACTATTTTTTATTATTATTTTAGATCCTATGAATATCATGCTATATAAGTTATCCATTTAATTTTGATAGAGCAAGAAATCTCATTAGTATCCACATAATCAATCTTCTGCTTATCCATTTTAATTTACCTTAGCAATGTTCTAGCATAATCAACCAGAAATCGAACTTACTACTATCATTAATTTATTAAAATAATATTTTCAGCAATTTAACCGCATATAAATATAATTGAAATTTAGTAGAGGGCTAAATATCCTCTGCAAAACGAATGTTTTTTTTTTACCTAGTAACAACATAGACGAATAGTGAAAGTTGCAAACTTCAATACAACTCAATTCGTTCCATCTTATGAGTTCCTCAATCATGAACTGGATTGATGCATCAATCCACGCTAAGAAAACAAACAAATGACATTGCACACTTTAAGAAATTGAAAGACATCGACATAGACAACCCAATGACCACTACTACCACTTTATTTCTTATTTGTGACCTTTATAAAACCCCACATCCATTTTACTTATAACCCCTGCTACTTACTACTTACTGACCATATCATCATTGTAAAGCTAGCTAGTAGCAAGTCACTCATGAACATAATAATTATAAAAACATCCTCTGATGGAATATTGTAAGGTGACAACCCTCACAAGTTTGTTTTCCATTTTAGCATCCGATGAATAATATAGAAGAGAAATGTTAGAAATCTCAAACTTTTGAGCAAATAAGAAAAGAGTTTTGTTTGTTTTTATAGGGCTTGACCCAATCAATTAATTTTATTCTTTTTAATGATGAATTTTATTTTTAGAGAGCTAATCTAAACGGAAAAAAACGTATAGAAACAAACTAAAAGGTTGCATTCATTGTTATTAACTTAGATTTATGTGTTATTAATGATAATGACGATTGAAAGTGTTAACATAAGGTACATCATTTATAGTTAGAACTTGCCCACCATGAAAGGATGAGAGCTATTCATGTGCTGATGTGACAGTAATTTAGTTTTGAATAATACCTAAAGTGAAGATGAAAGACAATGGTAGATCAAGTAGGGCAATTTAAAACCCTGCCACCATAATATGAAAGTACTTAAAAATGGAAAGAAGAGTAGAACCCGACCGGTCAATCACAAGTAGCCAAATACCGTTGGAGAAGAGAGGTCAGTCATCAGCTACGGATCACGGGAGAATAGGGAGCTGTCGTCACTACTTGGCTTGGTTTACTTCGGATTCTCAATGATAAGAACTTTTTTTGCCAATAGGAAAAATATGTTACAACTACTCAATTGTTTCTCATCTAATTGCTGCCTCTTGTAACTGACGCAATGAAAAAAATCTATATGTCTTACCATTTTCCTTACATGTATGATGTATCTATGCATAATAGTAGAGAAGAAAATAGAAATGCTAGAAATCTAAAAATTTTGAATGAATAAGAAGAGAGTTTTGTTTGTTTTATAGGGCCACTTTTTATCTTTTATTTTTTCCAATTTTAATTTTAGAGAGATCATCTATACTGGAAAACCAATAGAAACAAACTAAAAGATTGCATTCATTGTTATTAACTTAATGCACATTTTAATGATAATAATGATGATTTTAAGTGTAAAGAAAAAAATTATAATTAGAACTTGTCCACCATGGATGAATGAGAGTCATCCATGTGCTTATGTGGCAAAGATTTAGTTTTGAATTCCTATAATATTAAGTAAGGATTAAAAGTAAAAAATAAACTCCAAAACAACTTATAGAAAGGCCAAGGATCCCTATCACTACAAAAACCCAGTCCAATGACCGAGATTAATAGGGTGCATATCTAATGGCCATGGAAGAGCAGGGGTATTTTTGTCAAGAAAAAAAGGGCGATCCTTGTTCCTGTGCAAGCAGTTTGTGTGTTCCCTCTTCTTGATATTAATCGAGACTCAAACTCCTGGATTCAAAGGTGATCAAAGTACGTTGTCAACTTCGATCTTCTAGCTTTTTTTATTATCTTCTCCAACTCGAACCAAAACTAAAAATAAATGTGGAATCAATCGAACAATCCCCACTTGTGAAAATGGGCAATTGATATAGGGTAGAACGCGCCATAGTTGATAAGAGACGTAGAACCCCCGAGAATCCTTGATAGAAGACTTGCACAAACATTCACTATGGAACACGAGATAAACTCTTTAATTGATTGCTGAAAACTTGATTCTTCACAGTACAATGAAATTCAACCTCGGAACAGTGTGCAGGTTTGGCTGATCATAATGGATCATCTTGCTACAAGAGATAAGCTCAAGCTATGGGGTGTGATAAATGATAGCACCTGTGTGCTATGTAATGTAGTGGAGGAAACTCGGGACCATCTTTTTTGTCATTGTTCTTTTATGCAGGAGCTGACTGCTACTCTGTTGAGGGGAAGGATAACGTGCCCTGGAAGCTGGCCTGAACTACTGAACAGAATTACAGCCAGAGTTAGGGAGAAAGGAAGTTGTGGGAAGATTGAAGCAGCGATCTGGTGCTGGTGTGTTAGTGCTGTCTGGAAGGAGAGATGTCGAAGAGTCTTTGGGGAACAGCCTTGTACTGCTGTTGTGTTGGCAGAGCAGCTAAGGGAGGAAGTCAAATTGTATTCAGTGGCTTTCCCTGAGTTTCAGATCCTTTTAAGCAAAACCATGTCTTGCTGTAAATGCTTAGATGAGTAGAGGTTTTGTTTTTCTTTTGGTGTTCCTTGTAAAGGACCGGTGTGGGCAATTTTGCCTGTGTGTTTTTCGAGCTCTTGTGCTGTTTTAGCCAAGAGGGTGCTTAATGGTAAACTAACTTACCGGAAAAAAAAAAAATTCAACCTCTTCAAATAGGCTACAAAACATATAACTAAGAAAGAAGCATAAAACTTAAACAACAAGTAACAATAATTCACCCATTACATAGCCCTAATCCTTAAAGGATTTGATCAACTTCTATTTCCTTTAGGCCAAGTAAATGGAATTCCTTCAAAGCCATTCTTTCAATACCATTGTCGCCACCTTCCTCCAAGCCCATCACACGATCTTCTTCAATGAATTGAAACACCATTATGGGTCTTCCTTTGAGTAGATCCACGTCCATGCTAGCATAGTAGTTGCTCAAGTAGTTTTCAAATTGTTCCCTTAACTTGTTGGCCTTTAAAGGTGCAATTTAACCATTTTCTGGTATGGTAGTCTTGGTCTTGGTGACCTCTCATTAGTCCCTTCCTCTTGAAAAGGATTTGCCTTCAAATCTGAATTACCATCTAGATATGGTGCATGATAAGAAACGTTGAATGTTGCACTTATCTCATACTCTCCTGGTATGTCAATCTTGTAGGCATTACTCCCAACCTTTGAAATCACTTGAAAGGACCTTCACATCGAGGTAGCCGCTTGGATATCCTTTGATAAAGAAATCTTTCATTTCTCATGTGCACTACACCCAATCTCCAGCTTCAAATTGTCAAGGCTTCCTATGTTTGTTGACATTCTTCATGATTTGCTATGTCCTCCTCTCAATATTCAACCTCGCTTTGTCATGGAGATTCTCAACAAACTCGACCCCATTTTCTCCATCCATGTTTACTGCTCCTCCATTTGTAATGACCTCCAAAATAAGTATTAATGTTATCTTACCACTATC